GACAGAGAGAGAGAGAGAGAGAGAGAGAGAATTGAAGTTCACACTGGCTATCATCATGAAAGGAAAGAAAACAAAGATGTGTTAGTGTAAATGTAAATTAGTCCAGTGACTATGAAAATAGGTATAGAGGTTCCTGAAAAAACTAAAATTGTGATCCTTCTATATCACTTCTGGGTATAAATCTGAAAGAACCAAAGTCAGCATACAGTGAAGATGGCTACACACTCATGCTTTTTGCAGCACTCTTCACCATAGCAAACTCATGAAATCAGCCTAGGTTCCCATCAGCACATGAGCGGATAAGGAAAATGGGGTTTACATGCACACGGCATATTATTCAGTCATAAAGAAAAACAAAATTATGTGACTTGCAAGAGAATGGATAGAAATAAAGAAATCCATGTTAAGTGAAGTAAGCTAGATTCAAAAAGACAAACATTGTGTGCTTTCTCCCGTATCTGGAAGCTAGATGTTCTGAAGAATACATGGAAGCACAAGAGGACTGTTTTGATAAATGAGAATTGGAGCAGTGTTGGACAGAGAGGGACAACTGAGGGTTATAAGGGGAGAATAAGATTGAAGTACATAGTATTCAATTATGAAATTATAAGAAAAATCCTTGTCTGTATAATTAATTTTAAGAAGAATCAGGAAAAGAGTACTATTCAGGAATCCACACTCTGAGCAGACAGATCTAACCACTAAGGAGTCATTATGAGCAAGATAAGACAAGCAGAATTCAGGACAAGTCGTATTGCTCTAATAAGGAGATCGTGGGTTTCAAAGACAGGGAAGAGAAGAGAGCTTGAGCAGAGGAAGCTGACCATAGAAATCCTGGAAATGGATCTTTAAGGGAGGTGAGCCAACAAGCTACTCACTGCAGATAAAGAGTGTTTAGAACACCCCAGACTCATTCCCTCCTGAGTCGATAATCACTCTTTCTCAAAAATTCTGAGCTGATAATATAGCTGGGTTTCAGCCCCTGAGATGATATTTGACATCAGGACTAAGGAAGGGTGCAGAGTAAAGAGACCTTCACCAAAAGTCCTCAGATGTGAGTGCCAGTCCTGACACTACCACTGACTAAGTGCAGGACAGCAGAACATGAGGGCCAGTGACAAAAACAACCAAGTTCATTCCCCACAGAAGCTCAGTTGAACTTTGAAAATAACAAGGCTTAGGAGTTTCCAAGAAATCCCAGAAGGTTTGCTTTCATCCTCCAACATGTGTGAAGATGAGATAATGAGTCTATTCTGAAGTGCCTTCTCCCTGGCAGGCCTGGCTTTTCCCAGGAGCCTGGGGGGCTGTCCCAGGTGCTGATTCAAGATCTAGGGAAAATCTTTGAGCCCCCTGCATAGACTCCACAGATCCATCCTCTAAGGAATTTTAAATACCCACTGGTTTGCTTGGTAAGAAGAAAACCTAAAATTGGTCAGCTACATTCATCTATCTGAGCAATCTTAAGTGTGTTTCACAAAATGGTTTATCAATCTTATATTAAGTTTAAATTCAAACCCAACTTGAATCCAATGGACTATTCCACCAGATAATTAAGACATATCTATTACACCGGAAGCCCTGGGAAGATACTGGCTCTGAAGTAAAGTCCACATGAACCAGAGAAGATTAACTGGGCAGAAAATCTGACCTTTGTCATCAGAACATGTCATCTTATCAACCATCTCCAGCCTAGTATTTCAGCTCTTATATGAAAAAGACAAGTAAGACTGGATCAAATTTTTATAAGTCAACAGCCTTAATTTCATTAGACTAATGTGTCACTAGATATATGACAAGACATGTAAATAGTTTCATGAGGGGATGAGGCTGGACTGTAGAGTTTAGACAAAGATATTCCTGTAAATTACTATACTTTCTATATTTATGCTGATAAGAGGACTGACTGTATCTGTTGACTTTAGAAGACAATATTGTTTAGTTAGACTGTAAATGTTTTTCATGGACTAGTACTGTGACCATGGACAAATTACTTAACTATTAATTCTTAGTCTTTTACAGGACAAAATAATACCTATTTCATAGGGTCATAAGGATAATGTATACAGAATATAACGTGTGACTGCCACAGAGCAGGTATTCAATAAATAGTTACCAATGCTTAAAAAAGCAAAACAGCCTGTTAGTTAGACTGAGGTCAAGGCACCAAAACAGAATCAATATATATTTTTCCCTTACATCTGTGAAACCTCAGGCAAAATACATATAACACATATAAGCCTCAGTTTCCTTGTCTGTAAAATAAATACAAATGTTTCTATCTCAAGATAGAAAGTAAGTAATGTCAAGTTGAAAGTAAATAATGCCTTTAAAGTACTTAACGATGTATGACTTGAGCAAGACCTCAGTAAATGTGTAGTAATATTTAAGATACTGACTCAAGTAAGGTAAGAAAAATTAACTTTGTTGAGTTCCTTCACTACCCCCAAAGGACTGAGCCTTTGGAAGAAAGAGAAGATGGGGATGAAAAAAGGTTGCAAGTTAACGTAAGTAGGATGTTTAGAGACCATCTTGCCTCAGAATTCTTTCTAGATAAAAAGTCTCCCTTTTCCCATGCCCCCCGCCCAGAGATCTCACATTCTTCTTTGTTGCATATTAAAACATTACAGATAATAACGTCAATCATAAGTGCCTCAAGGGTTTCTTAAAATGTTCACTGGCCATAAACATTCATTTTCCCTTTTGTAAGTTGTTCTGAATTCAGGGAGGCTATTTATTCCCTCTATTCTAGGCACTAGCCAAGCCAATGGAAACCCAAATCCCTTAAATAACATCACAGAAGACTCTGTATCACAAGCCTGGTAGTGAAACTTTTCTTTGTATAAAATACCTTGGAAAATACCCTTCTAGGAAAAAGCAAACTTAGTGAATTAGGTAAAAATCCATTCTAAGTTTTCAAAAAATAATTATTGTATTCTCATTATATTTGGGGGGAAATTGAGGCTATAATTGGCTGAACAAATTTCCCAACGTCATAGAACAGAGACATATGGAACAAAGAAGGAAGGAAGAAGAGGAGAAGGATGAGAAAGAGGAGAAAAACAGGCCACAAAAAACTCCAAAATCAATCTTGATCCTCTTCTCCCATAGAAGTTAATTTAGACAGATGAATTAATTTTTAAACTTTGGGGCTTCAGTCTGCAGAAAAAACTACTTATCTTCTCCTACAGGGCAATGAGATGTAGTAGAAAGAGTTCAGAGTCTGGAGTTAGAAAGTTCTGGGTCCAAATGTTGACTCTGTTTTATTCTAGGTGTGCAGGGAGTTGGGCAACTTCCTGAACTACTCTGGGTTTTATTTTGTTTTCCATATACTGGTCATGCCTACTGTCAGCTGGCGGGACTATAAGAAAGGTTAGGGCTAATATGAGCCGGGGCTGGGATGCGTGTAGCACAAGCATAGTGTGGCTACACCTGTACCCTTCTGGATTCACTTGGAAATGGTCAGTGGCATATGGTATTATGATGTGATGCATATCTATACCAGATACAATCAAGAGATTTTAGAAATGCAGAAATTTACATGGCTCAAATATAAAGCAAACTAAGTATAATTATTTTGAACACTGGTAGAGTATGAGAAAAAATCCTTCATTTCACTTGATGATTGAGTTTCTTCTAGAAGCAACAGGAGTTTAGGGACATACATTTCACTGCATCTTCAGTTACACTTGTTGGACATTTAGTATATGGCATGTAAGCAACCAACATAGTGAGACACCGCTTTCTATTTTTATAATCAACCCATAGTCATAGTACAGAAGATTTAGCTTACAGGGCAGGTATTGTTACATGAATCAGGTACAAGATTCATTTTATTTTTAAAAAAGGTAGAAAGGTAGAAAAGAAGGAATAGGAGACTGACTTTGTTATCTTCTTCAGTGAGGACAGAATTTAGTCAGCTATTGAAACAAAGATACAGATTTAGACACACTTATAAAGATATAAATATATAGAGACTAACAAGTGTTTTTTAAAGAGACACAGAAAGCAATACAGTGAAATTCATCATCTCTCAGAACAGGGACTCAATATATACTGTCTGAAATTGATGATAGTAATAGCAAAAATATTAATAGCTAACATTATTTTAACTCTTTCCATATGCTGGGCACTGCTCAACACCCCTTATAAGAATTAAATCATTTAATATTAAAAATACACCATGAAACAATAATACTTTTTCCACAGCATGCATAATAATTGAGGCACCAAGGGATAGATAAGGATCATCTTTAAATGGCTGAAAGGCATTCATAAGTAGAAAGGATTAAATTGACATAATAGCCAGGTGCTGGTAGCTCATACCTGTAATCCTAGCTACTCAGAAGGCAGATATCAGGAGGATCCTATTTTGAAACCTACCCAGGCAAATAGTTTGTGAGACCTTATCTTGAAAAAAGAATCCCTTCATAAAAAAAAAAAAAAAAAAAAAAAAAGAACTAGTGGAGTGGTTCAAGGTGTTGGCACTGAGTTCAAACCCCAGTACCACAAAATAAACAAATAAATAAATAAATTGATGTGACAGTCTGGAAAATGTAAAGTTGAGGACAGAGTGGAAGAGAATCCAGGTGCACAAAATAAATTATTGGAAGTAACCGTCCACAGATGAAAGCCGACATTGCAACTACATGACCAAGTGGTAGGTATACAGCAGAGGAGACTCCAGTCCCAGTGGAGTTTGGGATAAATGTCCTCTTGGTCCCTTCCAACCTGAGAATCATGTGTCTCTTATCTTCATAGAAATTTCAAAATGCAAGCCACAATTAACTTGAATCAGAAATACCAGTTCAAGGCTCAGCTCTATAAATTCAGGAAACACCCAAGGACAATCAGCCAGCCTCGGAACTTCTGAAAATCAAGCTCAATAAGTACTACCAGAATTGCAAATAACTTCTACCAGAGAGAAAAAGATTCTGTCCTTCAATTGTGGGATTTTTTTAAAATTTACTCTTGTTATTAGACCAATAGTCCACATTGAATCAATGGCCAAGAATAACCTCACCACAGTAACTGAGTTCATTCTCATGGGTTTTACAGGCCAACCAAAGTGGGAGATTCTCCTCTTCATGGTGTTTCTTTGTCTCTACCTTGTCACTCTCATGGGGAATTTGGGGATGATTATTCTCATCCAAGTGGATATCCAACTCCATACCCCAATGTACTTCTTCCTGGGTCACCTCTCTCTATTAGATGCCTGTTATAGCTCAGTCATCACCCCTCAGATCCTGGCCACACTGGTCACAGGCAAAACAGTCATCTCCTTTGGCCACTGTGCTGCACAGTTCTTCTTCTTCACCATCTGTGCAGGTACAGAGTGTTTCCTGCTGGCTGTGATGGCCTATGACCGCTATGTTGCTATTAGTGACCCACTGCTCTACAGTGTGTCCATGAATCCTAGAATCTGCAGGAGTTTGGTGGTGGGAGCCTATGTCTGTGGGGTTTCTGGGGCCATCTTGCGTACCACATGCACCTTCTCCCTCTCTTTCTGTGAAGACAACAAAATCAACTTCTTCTTCTGTGACTCCCCACCACTGCTGAAACTTGCCTGCAGTGACACAACAAACACTGAGATCATTGTTGTCTTCTTTGCGAACATTGTGATTTTGGCCAATGCCTTGGTCATCCTGATTTCCTATCTACTCATCATCAAGACCATTTTATGGATAAAGTCTTCAGGTGGCAGGACCAAGACATTTTCCACATGTGGTTCCCACCTCACTGCTGTAGGGCTTTTCTATGGGACCCTCACCTTCATGTATATAAGGAGTGGTTCAGGTAAATCCCTGGAGGAAGATAAAGTTGTGTCTGTCTTCTACACAGTGGTCATCCCCATGCTGAACCCTCTGATCTACAGCCTGAGAAACAAGGATGTGAAAGCTGCCTTCAGAAAAGTCACTGGTAGAATCCAGGAATCCCAGAATGATCTCTTCTCTTAGTCAATTTTGTTCCATTGTTAATATATCTTAAAAGACACCAGCACTACATGTACAAACAGAAGACAGACAGACACCACCAGACACATGACAAGAACTACAAAGTGATGATCCTGGTAACCAGCAATTATATAGAACTTTGTACTTATCACCATTTTCCACATTCAGTCTATTTCTTAGTATTCCACTGTCTCCTACTGTTCTCTGATGTCATCACTTATAGAATGTAAGGTCCAAGACATCTTGAGTAACTTCACCTAACCCCAAGGCTTGCCATACTTTACCTCTTGTCATTGCTGCCATCAACATTACTGCATTTTCTGTGTCAAATCTTACAAGTGATCCAGGAGCCAGTGGCTCTCACCTATAAATCTAGCTACATAAGAAGCTAGATCAAGAGATCACAGTTCAAAAACAGCTTGGGCAAATAGTTTGCAAGACCGCACCTTCAAAATAGCCAGATCAAAATGGACTAGAGTTGTGACTCAAGCAACAGAGTACCTACTTTTCAAGCATGAAGCTCTGAGTTTAACCCCAGTCTTACCAAAAAAGAAAAAAAAAGATTACAATTGATGATCCCTTTTGTGCTGGCCTTTTTGTTTCCTTTTCAAAATAGAAGTGAATGGTTACTTCAATTAGCATCAAGCACTGTATAGCACAAGTCTCCCCTTTAGAGTATCTTCCTTCTTTCTCAGGCCACAATAAGAGAACTTTCAAATTGCCTTGACAGTTGATAACTCACTTACTTTGCAGTTCTTGCATTCATGTTTTGCATAGATGTTCAAGGTGAGATAAGTCACCTTACCTTTGGGAAGGTTTTATCTAAGGCCAATTCTAGCTTCTAAAGGATGCATTGCTTCTCCCCTCACTTTATTGCCTACTTCATGAGCAGTTCTCACTTACTAAATATCCTATATCTAGAGATAGTAATGTCAAAGAACACACACAGATACAGTCAGTTGAACCGCATAGTACTTTCTATAGCAAAGATGTGATCAGAGGAGAAAGTAATCATAACTCTTGCACCAGACTGCAAAACACTTGAGGGCAGAGTCTTCATTACCTTTATTTCTAAGTCCTAAGTCTATATCAGATGACTTCTCAGTAATTGCTTTTGGAATAATTATTGTGTTACATAGTCCTATATGACTGTCATGATAACACTTTCAGTTGAATAGGGAAGACACTGTTAAATATAAAACTACCAATTTACAACTACTATGAAAAGCAGTATGGAAATTCCTCAAAAAACTAAGAATAGATCTGCCATATGATTCAGCAGTACCACCCCTAGGCATATATCTGAAAGAACATAAATCAAGAGACAATAGGAGACACTTGTACACCCATGTTTACTGCAGCAGTATTCACAATAGCCGTGCTCTGGAAACAACACATATACCCTACAAGTGATAAATGGAGTAAAGAAAAATGTGGTACATAAACACAGTGGAGTATTACTCAGCCATAAGGAAAAATGAAATTATGTTTTTTGCAGGTAAATGGACAGAACTGAAGATCATCATATTAAATGAAGTAAGCCAGGCTCAGAAGGACAAATGAGCCATGTTCTCCTCAAATGTAAAAGCTAGACCTAAAATGTAAATATATACCTAATATATTATATATATATATGAATATGGTCAGTGTACTTTGGATATATGTATGAAAATAGAACAATAAGACCTGTTGAAATTATTCTAAGAAGGGGAAAAGGGGATGATGGAGAATGATGGAGGAGTTAAATCTAATTAAGATACATTTTTAAGGACACATGTAAATGTCACAATGAATCCCCTGAATACAACTAACGTGTGCTAATAAAAATGTTAAAAAGAAAAGAAATATAACTTGAAAAATATTGGGGATTGGGGGGAAAGGCTATGGCAGATCAGTGACACACAGCGCTCTTCTGCATCTCCATGAATCTGAAACAAAAGAATAGGTGCATGGCTCCAGGCAGATGCAGGTGATGTCAAAATGCAAAGAAGAGACACAGTAGACAGCAAAGGAATCTGGAAATATTGAACTTTATATTTATAAAAGAAACCAAAGGGCCTACTTTAGATAGCTAGGCAAAAAAAGTAGCTCCTTCAATGGAGCTAAAAGAAAAAAAAAATAGGAAAGCCTCCATGAGAGACCCCAAAAGTGCACACATTGTCTCCACAGAAGTAAATTTGAGGACTGGAGTTCTGCAGACAGACACTGGAGATGTGGATTCTGCACTTCCTAAACATTCACTGGTGTCATGGAGGAGTCATCTTAGTACAGGTCATACACACAAACCTGTCACCTGGGAGAGCAGAAGACCCTGAATTTTTATATCTCCAAAACCTAAACCTCACCCCTTCCAAAGGCTAAGCAACCACCCCGATGATCAGTGTAGACAGAGTCTGGTTGTGATTTTGGCCTCAGTTTCATGGACACAGAAGTACTTTCATGGGCTATCCAAGTGACAAACCATAAACCACAGCAGTGCAGAGCAGACCTTCAATACCTACACATGGAAAGGGGGTGTGAGATTTGTGCAGGGCATGCAGAGGAACTGTGCATCAGGTTGCTTTGCAGAGGGAACCCACTTGCTGTGGAGAAGAACCATGGACCATGGCACACCAGAGAGTGGAGACACAGGCCATGAAAACCATGGGTGAACGCACGAGGGAATGCAGCCCAAACCCTGACAGCCAGAGACTGGAGGAAAAAAACCGCTTATCTGTAACTTCTCCATCTACAAATTAAACTGCAAAAAGCAAACTTGGGAGATGTAGTCAGCCAACCTCTTATCTTTCAAGGAAGAAATATTGACTGGAGATGTTGCTGTTGTTATTGTTGTTATTTTGTTTTGTTTTTCTTATTTTTGACTCTTTTGTCTTTTTTTATAATAATTTTGTTGTTCTCTCAATATTTCTATTTTTACTTTTTATTAGTAGTATATTATATTTGTACAGGGAGTACATTGTGACAGTTACATCATGTATAGTTACAGTACATCTTAATTAAATTCACCCCCTCCACTTTCTCCTTTATCCCCTATCACCCCCTTCTTAGAACAATTTCAACAGGTTTCATTTTTCTATTTTCATACATGAATGCAAAATACGTCTACCTTATTTGCCCTCCTTCACTGATTCCTTATGCCCTCCCACTGTTATCCACCCCTAGACAAGACCTGTTTTACCTTCCTGTTCTTTATTTATTAAAAAAGAACATTTTTGTTAGTTATGATAGTTATACAGGGGGCTTGGTGTGACATTTCCATATATACATGTATTGTTATGCCCTGTTATGCCCTAAATTGGTTCATCCCCTCCATTATTCTCCCTTCTACTCCATTCCCTTTCTTAAGGTGACTTCAACAGGTTTCAATATTCCAGATTCATACTTGTATAGAAAATACATCAACCATATTCACCCTCCTTTTCCCTCTTCATTTACCCTCCCCTCCCACTAATTTCTTCTCGTTAACATGACCTGTTTAACGTTCTTGTACCTCATCGTTTAGGTGTCTGTTTGTTGTTCAATGTGAATTTTGCCTTGGTATTTTATCTGCAAATATCTCATTCTTACATCAGTGCAGCCCCCCTCCACTACTCTTCTGCACCCTTTTCCACTATCCTGAGTTGTTCAACAGTTTTCAGTTTTCACTGTGTTTCAATGTGCCTTGTTCCTATGCAGAGGTCATGTATTTCATTATTTTTAATTCTATTAATATTATTCCTTCTGCCTTTATTCTGCATATTTCTCCTTTCTTTCATCTTACTTCTCTCTTTTTTCTTTCCCATCCCCTTGCTCTTTTTTTTATTGTTATGTTGGTTGAGGGTACATTGTGGCATTTACCCCCTTGCTCTTTATCAATTAATTAATTGTTAGTAGTTATTGCCTTAACAATTTTTAAATTCCCAGATTATCCTATAACTATCCTCTTTCCTTTTTTTTTTTTTTTTTTGAAAGTACTGCAGATTGAACTCAGTGCCTTAACTTACTAGGCAAGCATTCTATCACTTGAGCCACACCCCTAAGTCCTTTTTCTTTTAATTTTTCAGATATTGTCATGCACTTTTGCCCAGGATGGCCTCAAATCACAATCCTCCTACCTCCACCTCCCAGGTAGCTGGGATTACAGGCATGTACCACAACACCTGGCTTGTGTGTAGGTAAGGACTCGCTAAGTTTTCCCCAGGGCTGGCCTCAAACCATTATCCTATTGTCTCAGCCTCCTGACTAGCTGGGATTAGAGGCATGCAGTCTCACTATCATACCAGACCCCCTCCCCTTTCCTTTCTTTACTAGCGCTATTGGAATTTAGTTGATGTTTCTGAGTGTTGTGTTTTTTTTAATCACACTTAAATATCTGCTGATATCTGGTTGGTTTGTGGATTTTTTTTGGTGGTACTGGGTTTTGAACCCAAGATCTCTTGCTTGTAAAGCAGGTACTCTACCAATTGAGCCATGTCCCAGCCCTCTTTTACTTTAGTTATTTTTCAGGTAGGGTGTTGCACTTTTGCCTAAGATTGGTCTCAGACTGAGGTTCTCCTATCTGCAGTCTTCCACATGCTGGAACCACAGGCATGCACCACTACACCCAGCTCATTGATTTAGATGGTTTCTCACTAACTTTTTTCCGGGGCTGGCCTCAAACCATAGTCCTCCCAATATCTGCCTCCAAAGTAGCTGAGATTACAGGCATGTGCCACCATGCCTGGCATGTGAATTGTTTTTGATGCAGATATCTGCTTTCTCTCTGAGTGGTAGTTGTGATCATAACTTTAAGAAAAAGCTATCAGAACAAAGTTCAAAAATGAAGGTGATATCCATCCCAACATATATGAAAATTGCAACATAAAAACATAAGAATTATGAAAAACCAAGGCAATATGATTCTTCCAAAAGCTCATAATTCCCCATAACTGAATCCAAAGATACTGAAATGGCTGAAATACCATACAAAGAAATAGGTAATGAAGTAAGGAAGTCAATTCAAGATTTGCATAAGAAACTCTGCA